CCCCAATCAACCCCCCCCCCATCCACCCCAGGCCTGATGTAAAACCTGTCCAGGGGCTCCTCTCTGTTGGCGGGACATCACAGATACTTTAAATTATTTATTTTGTGAGAAGAGCAGTTTTTAATCACAATTTTCTTTTTTTTTTTTTAATCTCCCTCCTATTTTAAGTCCTTTCAAAAGCAATTGCATTCGTTGGAGCATTATTTGGAAGGTAACCGTGCCTGTTAAATTATGGTCTAAACTGTAACCAGTCCTTTATTTATCTCTTTAATTCTTTTTTTTTTTATTATTATTATTATTATTCTTTTTGGAATCTGTGTCCTGGGTTTGTACAAACTTGTGCTCTTCCTTTTTCTTTTGTCTTAAGGATAAACTGGAAAGAAAAAAAAAAAATTTGTACAAACTGACGATTGCAAATGTAGCGTATCACTGAATCATTTGCCTTGTTTTCTGCCTCAGCTCTCTGGGACACACGAGCTCGTGCGAGGACGAGACCCAACGCCCCGGCCGTGCCGCGGGGGCGGCACCGTTTTAGCTTTCCACCCCCAAAACTGGCTTGAGGTGGGGACACTGACTTTGGTGAAGCTGTGGCTGAACAGTTAAGGATTGCTTTTTAAAAAAGACAGCGAACTTTTTTTTTATTTAAAAAAAAAAATGATATATTTGTTAACTTTTTTTTTTTTTTAGGGATTCAGTAGAAGAAAAAAAAAATCTTAAAGCACTCTTATAATATGGCATCTTTCTATTTCTGTATAAAAGCAGATCTTTTTAAAGTATTTCTGTAACTTAAAAGACCTGGCATTTAAATCATATTTTGTCTTTAGGTAAGTTTGTTTTGTTTTGTTTGCAAGATCCTTCTCTTTGTGAAACTTACCTTTTTTTTTTTTTTTTTCCTTTTTTTTTTTTTTTGTATATTATTGTTTGCAATAAATATACAGTGTATTAAAAGTTAAACACCCCACTGGTGTCGGTTTTATTGACAGCCTTCAGGCAAAGCCAGGGCCACGCTGAAGCCCCAGGATGGTTGTTGGCTTCACTGGTGGGGTTTGGGGGGTGTCCCCCCTCTTTTATCAGCCCAGCCATCACATCGACACCGGAGTCAGGGGCGCCTCGGCGGGATTCCCTTTGCAGGGGAGCAGCAGGATACGGAGACAGACAAACAGCCAGGGTGACAATTCAGGGTGTGAACTCCAAAGGTGACAGCTCGGCCCCAGCCCTCCCCGAGCCCCCCTGGCTCCGATCCGCTGTCACCGCAGCGGGAGGATGCTGAGCACGAGCCGGGGGCAGAGGAGCTGCCAAGGGGGTTGGGGCTTTTGGGTCATTCTTACAAAACTGCTAGAACTTTTCCCCAAAAAAAGCTGAATTTCCCTGAACAGCCAAACGGGACGCATGGCATCCTCAAAGCTCAGTGTCACCACTCGTCCCTGAGTGGCCCGGCACCCCAGCAAGGACAGGCCCCTCCGGCTGGGTCAGGCATCGCTTTTCCTATCAAACCCATCCCAGAGAAATCCCTGCTCCAAGCTCCAGCGGTCTGTCACCCCAGTGCTCCTCGGGAGCAGCTCTCGGTGCTCAGGGCAGTCCAGCTTTGCCACCTCACCCCGCCTGAACCTGCAGCACCGCTTGCCGCAGCCCTGCCCTGGGGCACAGCTGTGCTGAGCTTCGCCAGGCCTCAGCCCCGCTGGTTTCCAACACAGAGAAGAGTGCGCCCGCCGCTGGCATCATTGCAGAGGTCTCTGGTGACAACACAAGTCCGGGCGGGTCCCCTCCCAGGGCACAGTTATTCACACGTGAAAAATTCTGAAAAAATATCATAATTTGACCTGGACTCTCGTGGGAGGCGCAGGTAGCGCCCGGCAGCCCCACGCCACGACCCGAGCACGTCGCAGGACACCCCGGGGTGCCCCCCCAGAGCACGGGCTGCGTTAATAAACCCTATCAGATCGATCTGACCAAACATGACTTTGCCAACAGGTTCTTCTGCCCCAGACCCTCCCTGGCTGAGAAGCCTCTGACCCCAGCAGAGACCTGCTCCCCCGAGCAGAGCACAGAGCTCGCCGCTGCGACGCGAAGCCTCCACGCTGTCGTAAAATATTTACTCTCACTACAAGTAACACTTAAGCCAATTAACTGAAAGGGATTCATTTACTTTGCGCATTAGTTAGGGTCAGTGTCACTATTTACCTGTGCGCCCAGGCACCGCGGCTGGTGGGAACACTTTGGTCCCAGCCATTTTTCCGCAGCACGTGGCGGGTTTCTTCTGCCCCCATCGGACTTTGCCCGCTGCAAGTTTTGGCTTTGCTGCTCCTTTGGAAAGAAGAACAAATAGAGCTACTGGCGTTATGGCGAGGAAGCGCCCGGGAGCCCCAGCAAAGAGCTTGGCAGGCCTGTGGCCGGCACGGCACTGCCGAGAGGAGCAGCCGGCAGCAGACAAACAATTCAAGAAAATGTCCTTCTGATGCTCGTGGGGGTGGGTTGGGCTGTCACCCAGCAACAAGCTGGAAAACGTCCCAAAACCAGGACAGCCTTTGCCCGCTGCCTCTCCGGGGGTCTGGGAGGGACCTTTTCGCATCCTCCCCCCAGTTTGCACTGGGCGCAGCGAGAAGCGGAGGGTGGGAGAGGGGCAGAGGCGGGAGGATCCTGAGCAGAGAGGACTGGGGTGAGCCCCGGCTGCGCTCGAGGTCTGCGGGGGCATTTCTGTCCCGACAGCCCGTGCTCAGCTCCCCTCTCTCTCCCCCTCCACCTCCCAGCCGGAAGCATCCCAGGGATATTTTTCTCGCAAGAAACCAAAAGAGCAAAGCTCATGACCCAACCCTGGACCTATAATTTCTGCACTGTTTACTTATGGTGTGGGCTTTAATGCTCTTGGCTTCCATTCGGGAAAGCCAAGCTGGACGCGGGTCCCTGGGCAGCTCCGAGCTTCCTGCCCACCCACCGCCGGGGCTCTGCCCTGCTCCGGGGGGCCGAGGGGACACCGAGAGAGAGGAAAAAAAAAAATGCTGGAAAAGCTGCAGAGCTTCAGGGCACTTTGTGCTAGAAAGCAGAGCAGGAGGGGTGGGGGGGGGAAAAAAAAAAATTAATTCAAGGGAACTCTTACAATGCTGCAGGGCAGGTTTGAGCCACAGCAGATAAGAGTGGGCGCAGGGACAGATGTGCGCCAGGGCTGCTGCAATGCTGCGCGGCGGGTCGGGGAGCGCCGGCAGAGCTGCAGGCAGGGCAGAGCAGGGCGGGGGGCACCGGCAGAGTCCCCCCAGCTCCGGCAGAAAGCCACAGGGTTGAGACGGCAGCGGGCAGAGCGAGGCCGAGCGGTGCGGCCGGCCGGCTGCTTCCCCTGGTGCGCTGCCGTGTGCTGGCTTAGCGCTGAGCTCGCTTTCCGTTCAGGGAAAAATAAGCAACTTTTTTAAAAAAAAAAATAATAATAATAAAAAAGGGGGAGAATGTTTCAAAGCAGCGCTGGGGAGCCCCATGGCACAACTCCCTCTTCTCTACCCAGGTCCCTGTAATGCCCCGTTGTGCCGGGCTCTACGCCCGGCCAGCTCCAGCCACACACAGCTCTGCGTGCCGGCCGCCTGCAGCGGTGTCAGCTGCTCAGAAATGTAGCTTCAATTTGCATTTCCTCGGCCAGCTGTTCATGTTGACATCGTATTAAAGCCGGGGCTTTCTCCAGGAGAGGAGGCAAG